CTTCCCCTTCCCTCCCAGACCCGACCTCCCAACCTACTTCAGTGTCACCTCCACCAAAAAACCCACCTCCCCTTTCTACGCCGCCTGCCTACCGATACCCTCTTCCCCCTCCCCGCAACCCACCTCCCCCTGTTCCCCTCATCCTCCCACGCTCCCCTCTGTCCCACCTCCCCCCCCTTTCCCCTTCACCCCCCATCACCCCCATTCCCGCCTACTCCAGTGGTCACCTCCCCCCAAACCACCTCCCCTTCTTCCCCCCCAACCACCCCCACCTCCCTCCCCTTTCCCCATCCCCACCTCCTCTTCCCCTCTCCCCCCTTTCCCCTTCACCCCCATCCCCCCCCATCCCACCTACCTCCAGTGGTCACCTCCTCGACCGGGACCCCCGTCTGGTGGGCCATAAACCCCAGGACTGAGAACACGACGAATCCAGCGAAGACCGAGGTGGCCGAATTCAGGACCGGGACGATGCAGGCGTTGCGGAGGCAGTTGTAGCGGAATTTGTTGTAGGAGCCGAGGGAGACGAGAGCGCCACCCCCCGCGCCGAGGCTGAAGAAGATCTGGGAGGCGGCGTCGCCCCATACCTGGTAGGGAGGGGGGGGGGAGGGGGGTGGGGTGAGGGAGAGAGGGGGAAGGGAAGGAGAGGAGGAGGGGTGAGGGAGAGAAGGGTGAAGGGAAGGGGAGGAGGGGGTGAGGAAGGAGAGGAGGAGGGGGTGAGGGAGAGAGGGCGAGGATGAGAGGGGTAAGAGAAAGGACGAAGAGAGAGTGGGGTGAGAAAGGAGAGAGAAAGAGAGAGAGAGAGAGAGAGAGAGAGAAAGGGAAAGAGAACGAGAATAATTAAAAACAAGATAAATAAACTAAGAGAATATCAAAGAAAATAATACAGGAACAGAGGACAAGAACCCGAACAAAACAAACAAACATTCATCTATTGCTATTTTTATTATTATTATATCTCCTCATCATCTTCATCAATTCCTCTCATTATTATTATCATTATTATTATTATCATTATTATCATTATTATTCATTTATTACTATTTTTATTATTATATCTCCTCATCAGCTGCATCAGTTCCTCTCATTATTATTATTATCATCATTATTATTATCATTATTATCTTTATTATTCATCTATTACTATTTTTATTATTATTATATACTCCTCATCATCTTCATCTATTCCTCTTATCATTATTATCATTCATCTATTACTCTTATCATTATTATTATTCATCTATTACTATAATTATCATGATTATCATTCATCTATTACTATAATTATCATTATTATCATTCATCTATTACTATTAACATTATTATCATTCATCTATTACTATAATTATCATTATCATCATTCATCCATTACTCTTATCATGATTATCATTCCTCTATTACTCTTATCATTATCATCATTCATCTATTACTATAATTATCATTATTATCATTCATCTATTACTATAATTATCATTATTATCATTCATCTATTACGATAATCATTATCATCATTCATCTATTACTCTTATCATTTAAATCATTCATCCATTACTATTATCATTATTATCATTCATCTATTACGATAATTATCACATTTCCTCCTCCTCCTCTTCATCTACTCTCTACCTACCTGCAGCCTCGCGAGTTTCTTGAAGTCAGGGTAGATGTAGTAGTAGATCCCATCCCACGCCCCCGGGAGTGTCACGCCCCTCAAGAACAATATGAGGAGCATCACGAACGGGAAGGTCACGGTGAACCATACGAGCTGCGGGCGAGAGGGAGGGTGAGTGGGTGTGGGTGGGTGGGTTTGGGGTGGTGGAGGGATGGGTTTGGGTGGGTTGGGTTTGGGTGGGTTGGGGTGAGTGGGGTGGGTGGGTTGGGTGTGGGTGGTAAGTGGGTAGGTGGGTGGGTGGTGAGTGGGTAGGTGGGTTGGGTGGGTTGGGGGTGGGGTGGAGGGATGGATGGGTTTGGGTGGGAGGTGGGTGGGTGGGGTGGGTGGGTGGTTGGGTGGGTGGGGTGGGTGGGTTTGGGTGGTGAGTGGGTGTGGGTGAGTGGGTGGTGGAGGGATGGATGGGTTTGGGTGGAGGTGGGTGGGGGGGTGGGTGGGTTGGGGGTGGGTTGGGTGGGTTGGGGTGGGTGGGAGGTGGGTTTGGGTGGTTGGGTAAGTGGGTTTGGTGGTGGGTGGTGGAGGGATGGATGGTTTGGGTGGGAGGTGGGTTGGGGTGGGTTTTAGTGGGAGGTGGGTGGGTAGGTGGGTTTGGGTGGTGAGTGGGTAAGTGGGTTTGGGTGGTGAGTGGGTAGGTGGGTTGGGTGGTGAGTGGGTGGGTGGGTGGATAGGTTTGGGTGGGTTGGGTAAGTGGGTTGGTGGGTGGGTGGGTTTGGTGGGTGGGTGGTTGGGTGAATGGGTGGGTGAGGTGGGAGGTGGGGTGGATTAGATAAGTGGGTTGGTGGATGGGTGGGCTTGGGGGAGTGGATGGGTTTGGTGGGTGGATGGAGGGGTGGG